GATAGGAAATTTCTCCCACGGACTGATTAATGTGATGAAGTACTGTATAGAAATGAGGGAAAGCACAAGATCTCTGTAATTCCCAACTTTTAATTTGATCTGTACACAAATGTCTTCTGAAGCACAAGACTGAAACTAGGTATTGGGCAAACCAAGACATCCACACCAGAAAGCTTTTTGTACCTACTATGTTCCAGGCATCTGATCAGGGCACAAAGACTAAACAAGACCAAGGACTCGATCCCCCGCAGCTCCCTACAGATTGCATCCTGTTGGATCTCAGTACCCACAAAGAGCCCACATGTGTCACCAACCAGCTTACACACATATCCTAGGTAACCTTTTATTTATAATTCCCATCTATTTATTTAAAATTTCCATATATCTTTTATCTCCCTTTTCACTCAAAACCCTCTAAACATTTACTACAGATTAAGTGTCAAGAATTTTGGTTGCCATCATTAATGTACAATAATTTCCCATAAATTCCTGTCAAATATTTTCTTTCCTGACCATGGAACTAACCTTAAAAAAGTTTCCAACATAGGCTGATTTTTAAACATGACCTCTACTTTCAATATTCTACACAAGCAGCCCATGTTAAGCAAGAGGACAGAGGCTGGGGAAATGGCTCAGTAGAATAAGCACTTGCCTGGCAAGCACAAGGGCCTGAGTTCAATCCCCAGTTCAGCAGAAAAAAAAAAAAAAAAGAAAACAAGAGGACAGTGTGTGTAAGAGCAGAGAAGTGAGAACATGGCATTCAGATGTGGTGTCTATGGGGCTCCAAAGCCACCTCCCTGCCCACGAGGCCAACACCACTACTCAGTCACACGCTCTGCCATTTGCTGCTGGTATTCTCAGCAGATTCTCTGAGATCACGACCAATTTCTCTGACTTAGTACTAAGAGGCACACTTGTCTGCCAGCACCATCCCCTGCTCGGTTCAATCATTTGGTTTTGTAGGGAAGGAAATAGAGACTGGACAGACCAAGTGACTCCCCAAGATTAAACAGCTGCTAAAGGGCAGTGGTAGGATTTAGACAATTCTGACTCTTAAGTCAGAATTTCTTTTCATTACCACACCTTTCCTTTCTAATCTGTTCTTAATAAAACTCCTGGTTTCCTAGGCCTCTAATAACTACTTTCTTCCGTATAATCGAGTGCTTTATCATTGAAGAGTCTACATAATTTATATTCTATAAAGAACTGCAGCCTTTCTACCTACTTTTTGCCTGAAAAGTATTTTCAAAAAAAGATTTCATGACTTTGCACTGTAGATGCAGAGTTTGATGTCAGGAAAAAAACCTAATCACAGACTATGAGAAAAGATCTGTGAAGGAGAAGGGGGACTTCCAAATTTTCATTTGATGAAGGCTAATATCAAAGAAAAATTTAGGAAATGAAGTTTAAGTAACAAAAGAAGGAAAAGGAAGAAAGCAAAGATGAGGAAGGAATAAAATAACAGGTCCAAAGCCATTTAAAAAAAAAAAAAAAAGCAAGGTTAAACTTGACAAGGGGCAGGACAGCAAATATGGGGAGTATTCAGAACACGCAGTGAGATGGGCGAGCAGTTAGCAGGCAGAACTGTTCCCACCTTAAGAGCACTCGTGGAAAATGAGGCTTGCCTTGTTTCACATCCTATTCTCATTTTTCTTTTCAAAGGCTGGTTTTCATCACTAGGTACACACAATCCAACCAGAGCATTTTTCACTACTACACTGAACTGATTATTTCCAATAGGCCAGGCAGGGCCCTGCAGTTAGCTCTCTCAAATCCTCCTCCAGTGTCTTCAAAAGCTCCCTGCTAGCTCTACAGGCTGCCCCAGCAGTTGACCGGCGGTGGCTACCTGGCCTCACCTCTCTTGTCAGCTGCACCGATGATCTGCCTTCTTTGCCCCCCTTAACCCATGCACACTAGCACACAGCAAAAATGCTTCCCTAAATGTGGACGCAGCTGTCTTCTGAGGGACCTTGGAGCGTCTGACTTAATGTCTCAGATACTGTACCAAGAAGGGGCCTGGGAAGGTTTTGTCCCTGCTTTGGGACTCTCTGAATGATAGCACACAGGTTACTATGCACCTGCTGAGGTCACACACTTGGGTAAGCCTTTTCCTGTGTCATCTTGTAAGACAGGTGTCATTATTATACTCATCTCGCAGGTAAGAGGAGCTTGACAGAGGTTAAGTAAGCAATTTAACAGGGTTAAAACACAGATCCTTTACACTCTGGAGTTCATGTTTTTCCCCATTTAATTGTGTACTTGATACACAGAGCACCTACTAAGTGCAACACACTACGCTGCCAGACGTTGGAACCTTCCACTTAGTTAATGTCTTTAGAAGAGGTCAGCTATAGCTGCATCACAGACATCAATTCTAGAAGCATCTCTCAGATAACTCAGGAAACTGGATGCCTAAAAAGGAGCACAGGCTGCTTTGAGAGGCTCTTCATTGACGATCATGCCTGAAGCAGCACTCAGGTCAAAGTAAAATGGCTTATGCTGGACATTTTAGATGAAACCTGTTAATATGGCTCAAAACCTATAAAAATCTTTAAATTTGAGACAGTAACTCAGTTTTGGAAATCTATTTTAAACTACATAAACTATGAGAAAATTACATGCCAAAGACATGTTTATGGCAGCACCATTCATAGTACCCAAAAGGCAGAAGCAAACTATAGTCCCAAAAGGGAACAGTGAAACAGCCCCATAGGGAAATAATTTAAAGTTACTAAAAGCATAAGGAGGGGTCAGGGAGATGGCTAAGTGGAATAAGTGCTTCCCTGGCAAGTGCAAGGACCTGAGTTCAATCCCTGGTTCCACAAAAACAATAACAACACATAAAAAAAGCATAAGGATTATATGGGTACCTTTAAAAAGCTGGGTACAGTGGCACCCAACTATACTCTCAGCACTCAGGAGCCTGAGCCAAGAGATCCTGAGTTTAAGGCCACTTTAGGCTATATGGGGAATTCCAGGCCATCATGGACTATAGAGCAAGACCATGTCTCAATTAATAAATGCACACTTTCAAAAAGAAGAAACAATTCAAAACTGTCTATTTTTTAAAAAATTATTTATTTATTTATTTATTTATTTATTTATTTGGTACAGTCACAGTCTCACTACATAGCTCCAACTTCTAGTGATCTTCCTGTCTCAGCCTCTCCAGCACTGCTATTACAGGCCTGTGCCACTATGTCTGGTTTTGGTGGATGGCTTGGTATGCCCCAGGTTCCAAGTTGGCACAGCATGTGGTACTGGGGATTGAACCTTGGTTCTTGTGCTTGCCAGGCAGGCGCTTAGATCACCAAGCTATCTCCCCTACCAGTCTTACATGATTATAAATATGCAAAAAGTGCTTTTTAAAACTGAATAGACGTGAATACTGTAATTGAAAATTATAGGGCTGGAGATACAGCTCAGTGGTCTAAGTGCCTGCCTAGCAAGCACAAGATCCTGAGTTCCGATCCCCTGTACCATATGCTGTACTGGTCGGGTTCCCAGATGTGTCATGCTGGCCCCAAAACTGGGCATGGTAGCTCACCCTTGTAATCCCAGGGGTAGGGAGGCTGAGACAGAAGGACTGTTATTAGTCCAAGCTACATAGTGACATCCTGTATCAAAAGAATTTAAAAAAAGAAAAAAAAACTGTATTTGTTGTTTAGGAATTGCAGGTAAGTCTTCTTTCATTTTTAACAATACTGTTTCCTTCAGAACTTGGAAATAATTTTGATCATGGCATGCCCTTTATAAGATTACAAAGATTAAGGCCAAGCTCTCTAGGGTGGAGGATCCCAAATTAAAGCCTTGCTTGGCCAACTTGTAAGATCCTGTCCCAAAATTTAAAAAGAATTTTAAAAGGCTGTGAATGCAACTCAACGTGAAGGCCTTTGGTTCAATCCCCAGAACATTAAACAAACAAACAAAAAAAGCAGCAAATTAGAACCAAAGCACCAGTTTGGAACAATTAGTAAAGACATTTGCAGTGCTGGGGCTGAAAGGCCATAGTCTGGGTCAGCTAATTATACAGAAAATACAAATTAAAAAGGTCACTACACAAAGAGGAAGCAGCCCCACCTAGCCAGCAACAAGAAAACTAGAGCCCAAGTAACCTGATTGACAGGTGGTGCTAGCATGGACCTGGCTTCTGTTCTCACTGAAGGCCTGGGAACTCCGACAGACTGCACTGCAAGGAGGGAACCACTCACTCCAGGAACCCCCATGGGGTCAGCACTCACACACCACGGCTCCACCTGCACCTGTCACCTCATAAACCAGGACACCCCTCTTTAGAGTCCCGGGCATCCACTGAGTGGCACAGTGAGGTAAACATGGCTTCCCACCCACCTGCGATAGCAGAGTGCTTCCCCATAAGGGCTACAGAATCTGCCGCTGAAAGATGAGATCAGTTGTCTAAAACCCAGCTGCACTTTAGAACCACGTGGGGAGCCTGGGAAAATATTTTTTTCTTCAGGTTTTATCCTCTGATTTTGATTCAGTACATTTCTTCTGAAGGTGCTCAAAAATGTACATTTTTGGGAGGACTAGCCAGATAGTTCAGTGGACTAAAGTGCCTGTATAGGCAGAGAGCAGGGACCAGGGTTTGATCCCCGGCCTGCTGTGCAGGCCCCGCCTGAGGGGCGCTCTGAGAGAGTGATTGAGACTGAGTGTAGTGGCACGCGCCTGTAATCCCAGCACTTGGGAGACTGGAAACAGGAGAATCACTACGAGAGTCTGATCTACACAGTGAGACCCTGTAGACCCTGTACCAAATACATTAAAAACAAACAAAAAAAACCTCTATATTTTTAAGGAGCCCCCTGAGGGATCATAGACATTTAGTGACCACAGGACTAAGTTATATGTGGTATAACTTTAGCATTTAATACAGCTCAAGGGATTTTAATTCACTAAAGTCAATGGAGAGTATTACCCAAATATTTACTGAAGCAGAACTGCTATTTGTCAAACATACAGAAAATAGAATAGTTACATACCTGATAATCCAGCATGCAGAAACTCGGAAAAAACTGACAAATTCTAGCTTCCAAAAAATAGGGAAAAATCCAGAAAATGGGCATTTCTTGCTGACTGTCATCTAATGGATCATAAGAAAAAACAAAAAGAAAATAAGAAGCAGATACTTAAGAAAAAATAAAAGCTTTAATTGAAAAACTTGTGGTATTGGTAGGAATTTCAGTCATGCAATACATTTATCCCTCAACTTGACCTTTCCAAAGGCCAATGGAAATGCTGCTTTGATTTTCTGAGACAGGGTCTTGCTGAATAGTTCAGGCTGGGCGTGAGCTCCCAAGGGATCCTCCTGCCTTAGCCTCCCAAGTGCAGGGATCACAAGCACGCCCCCCACCACGCCCAGCAGGAAATGCTTTTATATTTAAAACAAAACACTGTATTTGTCTACTATGTTTAGTAGTCTGAGATTGTTGCAAGTCTGAGAGCAGCCAGGGCTACAAAGGGAGCTCAAGGCCAGCCTAAACTGCACCATGAGGCCCTGTCTCAAAAAGACAAAAAAAAAAAAAAAAAAAAAAAAAAGAATGGCAAACAAGTGAAAGACTTAATGAGAAACGTCAAGTTTTAGATTTAGGTTTCATTTAGATTTCACTTGCATTCTGTTCCCAAGGCATATTACTTACACAGCAAAATTAAAGGAGAAGCTTGATCACACAACTCCTGACACTCTCTTAGAATTTATCAACTCACAACCTAGAAGCTGTATCTAAAAAATGAGCATACTTACTAATTAGGTAACTAGATAACACTCTAAAGTCCTAAGCCACTTTAAGCTGAATAATTACCCATAGCCATTAGGCCACTCCAAGGATCGTGACCTGTAAGTCAGCTGTAGCCACTACTGGCCTAGTGGATGTCCAAACCTCGGCACAGATCTTGGCAGAGTATGGATCCCTGGGCCTGAGTTGGGTGCCCTCAGAGTTCTGTGCAAGTCTTTTCTTTTTTTGGCAGTACTGGGGATTGAACTCATGACCTTGAACTTGCCAGGCAAGCATTTATTCTACTAAACTATCTCCCCAGCCCCTCTGTGCAAGTCTTTAGGAACAGGGGATGTAGGACCCGTGGGGCAGAGAAATATGTGCGCTTAGTTCCCTCATTTTTTCTGAGCACCTGAATGGTAGGCAGCACGTGTAGCCACTCAGCAAACATTCCTAGAACAAATGAGTTTGCCACCATTGTTTATAGCACCCCACTGCCAAAAACATTCGGCCTTTTAAAAAACATATCAGGATAATACAGAATGTATCATGATGATGAAGTTTGCCCCTCATCAAATAAGCTGATTTTTTTCTAAGACATGTGTATCCTACCAGTGTCCTGATCCACTGACGCTGGCTAAAGTGACAGGAAACACATGCATAGATACTTGTTTGTCCTTAAATAAAAAGTTACACACCTTGGCTTTGACCTTCTTTCCACATACCAATTAACTTCTTGAATGTAATGGCCAGAGGTTCAACCAAGCCACCAAAAGGAGGGTCTGTCACCATAATGACTCCGTCCCCTTTATCTTCCTGTAAAAATGCTCTGCATACTTCAAGGGCAGGCTGGAACAGACACAAACTCGGTTTTGACATCAGCACTGGAGAGCTCTTCAGCCTGCTTGGAGTGCACCACTTGGCACCGGCAGCTTCTGATGTTATCCTGCCTCCAGCATCCCGTCCCTCAGTGACCCCAGACTCTTTAGCCAGCTCTGCGTCACCCCAGTCAGATTTTATCTTTGGGTTCCTTGATAGGTAGGTTTTTAAATTACAAATTCAAACACCATCACTATCAGACAACTACACATTTCAAATGGTTAAATTAAAAAACTAAATTTAGTAACCTAAAAGAAACTCATTACCCATGAAAACTATCTAAAATGTTCAATTCAGTTCAACAAATAGGAGCAGGGACAGCGCTGAGCTCTGGAGACACAAAGGAGAGTAAGACAATTTTTCCTATCTGGCTTGTCCACTACCAGCTTAATAATAGCCATAAATTACCATTTAAACATGCGCATGTTTTGGCGCATCAAGTATGTGACAGATACATTTGAACATGCACAGTAAGTAAATAATAAAAACTCACAAATGACAGTGCTTGTACTGTCCATGAAACTGTGCTAGGAACTCATTTTTCCCAACAGGCTGAAGTGCATGCTGTTAGTTAACACTAACTAGGGCATTTATCATCTTTCGCTCTGGGTGAAAGTAACACAACATACACTACCATGTCCAGGCCACCACTTAGAAGTAGTTTCCAAGTATCATCTGCAGAAGTAAATCAACTTACACTGTATAAAAGGCACAAGCTGAGCACAGTGGAGCATACCTGCAAACCCAGCACTCGGAGGCTGAGGCATGAGCATAAGGTCAGCCTGCACTACATAGCAAGACCTTGTCTCCAAAAAAAAAGCATAAGACTTTAACATCTAATGACATTTTAAACTTTAATAGGCCTGTATGTACTTTATAATAAAATACATACTCCACTAAATCACTTTAGAAGACCCAACTGATGAAAGGAAAAACTATGACCTCATGGTCCCTTTTCTCCACAGAGAGCTCTTAGCTTCCTGACGGTCCCCACCAGGCCAGAGGATGCTGCCTGAGGGGGAACCAGCTTTCAGGGGCTTCCTCGTACTTCCTGTCTTTGTTCACCTGAATGAGGACTCAAGGCACCAGTGAGGACTTTAAAACCTTTCAAGTTCCTTTGAGTTAAAAGCAGGAAAATAAAACAGACCGGTAGGCAATGCCTAAGCTCCTCAATTAATTTAGAAAGCATTAAAGACGTTTCCAGGTAAGAAGCAACGGTGTGATGGCTGTCCTGAGCTGCCAAGCCTGCTGGAGGTGGCCACCATGGGAAACAGTGGTTTTCTTACGCAACCTATGTGGGCAACAATACAGTTGTCCCTGAGAGGCTCGCATCCTCCTTACTAAGCACAGGACAGCTGGTTTTACTTAGCCTGAGTGCTGAGGAGAAGCCCGTGAAGGGAGCTCCTGTTGTACTTCAATGGCCTGAAGCTGGGTGAGGTGCAGAGGTTAAGTCTCAAAGCACCTCACACAGCCTCGCAGGCACCAGGCAGACAGCAGATGCTCTGAGACCAATCAGGAGGTGGTAAATCTCCACTGGAAAACTTAACTCGGAGTAGGGAGAAAAAGGGCAAATGGATAGTAAAGTAAAATCATTACAATATTTTCAGCAGATCAATCTTCATGCTGCAGAGCTACTCAGAGGTTCCTGCTAAAATACAGCAACGGAAAGTCTGGCTAGACCACTATTTTCTTTGGGCAAAGACAAAGTGGGGCTCAGTCTTAGCTTATTCCAATCATTATTTTAGAAACTTACAAAGCAATTCTATAGACGTTCAATAGTAAGTTATACAGAATTTATAGGAATTGCTAATTATTACTTTCTAAAAAAACAATGAAATTGCTAGCCAATAGGAATTTAAGTATTTTGCCCTTATTTTGTCTTTATTATTCAAAATGCAAGTAAAATCATGGTACGGTAGTTAAAAAAAAAAGCCACCATGTCTTAACCTGCTCACTGCAGCAAGCCCAGTGCTCCCAGTGCTCCCTTACTATACCCCAGACCACAATAGTCATGAAGCCCCACATTAGCATCAATGTCCACGAAGGTGTTCCCAAGCCTTACTCCAAATGCCCTGCCCTGTGTCCTGAAGGATAAAGCATAAGCCCAGGCCACGCCCAAGTCAGCAAGGGCTTCTCTCCCAGTACAATTACCAGTATCTGCTCTGCCTCCAGCCTTGTCCACTGGGCAAGGCCCAGACAACCTGCTTCTTTCCTCTCTGTCCTATGGCCACTGTCCACCCTCAAGTGATCTTCAGCTCCCTACTTTCCTCAACACACAATGAGTCACTTCTCAAATCCCAGTGATTACTGACCATGTAATCCCTTTGGAAAACTCTACTACATCTAAGTCTAACTGCTGATTGTTTTAATTCTTGGTTTTAGTAGCTAACACCACTAGGAAGTATCTATCCCAATGCTAAATCAGTTCTAATGGAAGGAGTGTGATAGCTACTAATTCAGAAGACTCATTTTCAATCCTAACTACTGATTCAGTATTACATTCTCTGATACTTTTAGGCTTGCTTGGGTTTCATTTTATCATTAGCTAATATCTCAAGCATAATATATACCTAAGCCTGATTCACAAATTTTAAAAAATTGATTTGTATGAATATATCCATGAGTATGGATCAAGCTGTGTTCTTCATAATTTCTAAGCACTTTTGGCCAACATCTTATTAGATGTGACTACCTGCTTAGTATGGATTTTATTTTGTAATAGGGGCTAACACAGATCTGAAAATAAAAATAATGGTGGTGAACTTATGGTATGTGTTATCTGTTTTTCTTAGAAGACAAAGACATTAATGTATGAGTTGGTTTTTCTAAACTAAAACCTCAGCGTTCAGGTCCCACTGCCACACTGGCATTCTGTAACAAGTGGCCTTTGGGTTGTAGTTTGGGTACTTGGTCTCTGAAAGGTTCACCATTACTGGCCTAAGTGCCCATCAACAGAATAATGAATAAAATATAGTATATAAACACAAAGAGAAATATTACACATCCTTACTATTGTATAGAATCTAAAAAAGATGACATAAAAGTAGAAAAGAAACTATTAGGCAAGAGGAAGAAAATGAAAGAAATAAGTATGTAAAGGACAGTGGTAGGAGAACAGATGATCAAAATACATAAAAACTTCTAACATTGTCAGTTCCACTACTAATATGGACTATTGGACTATACTGGATTATTTTGCTGAATTCACGCACCTACAGTATTTGAATGGCAACGGAATACCCATCTCTGACAAAACTAAACAAAAAAGGGGGATATAATTGAAGGACCATTTTGTAGTGAAAAAAATATATATACATGTATCTGTATATACAAAATACTTAGGATAGATACATAGCTACTTTCTCTTAGTTGAATGAGAAGAAAGATTTGCACTAATAGTGTTTAGACAAGGTATCATGTATGCATCTTATACTATGACTAACTACTATGAAGACAACAATATGCAATGTATTATTGAAACTGTCCTGCTAACCTGTTTTGAAACTCATTACTATTTCTTTCTCAATAAAATTAAGTAAAAATACTTTATGTACACTGAAATTAGTATCTGGTAAAATGAATAAGTACTACTAATAACAGGGAAAAATTGAATTATAGAAATTATAGTTAAAATGGTAAATAATAAAGGAGGTACTCCTGAATTTATTTTATGAGAAGAAAGATAATAGGGCTGGAGAGATGGCTCAGTGGTCTAAAGCACCTACTTGGCAAAGCATCAGGGACTGCGGTTCGATCCCCCAGCACCACATGCCAGCCAGCCCGCCCCCTGGTGGGCTGAGCTGGCCGCACACACACCCCTCTCTCTCTCTCTCTCTCTCTCTCTCTCTCTCTCTCTCTCTC